ATAAACATCAGTATTCTGCAAATGTAAATTACCGGTTTTACCCCTTCTTTGTTTCACTTCTTCGTTTCACTTATAATTACCGGTTTTACCCCTTCTTTGTTTCACTTATCATTATTATTTTTAATTATGAATATGAATGATGTACATGGGTATATAGTTTCTGTTAGCATGTTTCTTTTAGTTTTTGTTTTCTTTGTAAGAATGTTTGAATATAACCATATTGCATTATTCTACAAATGTAAATTACCGGTTTTACCCCTTCTTTGTTTCACTTATAATTACCGGTTTTACCCCTTCTTTGTTTCACTTATCATTATTATTTTTAATTATGAATATGAATGAATTACAGGGGTATATAGTTTCTGTTAGCATGTTTCTTTCAGTTTTTGTTTTCTTTGTAAGAATGTTTGAATATAACCATATTGCATTATTCTGCAAATGTAAATTACCGGTTTTACCCCTTCTTTGTTTCACTTCTTTGTTTCACTTATAATTACCGATTTTACCCCTTCTTTGTTTCACTTATCATTATTATTTTTAATTATGAATGATGTACAGGGGTATATAGTTTCTGTTAGCATGTTTCTTTCAGTTTTTGTTTTCTTTGTAAGAATGTTTGAATATAACCATATTGCATTATTGAGTTTGTTCTTATATTATTAGTACTCCATGGACATAATGGTAATTTTATTTATGTTTATAATTTATGTGTGTACTTTTCTGTTATAGTGACAATGGCAGATAGAAACATCACTTTGATTAAAGACTTGGACAATATGAAGGATGATTACACACTAAAAGTGTCTATCATCCGGCTGTGGAGATCACTTTCAGATGGCAACCCCACTATTGTCAAATCAATTGAGATGATACTCATGGATGAAATGGTAAAATCTACTATTCCAATAGCATTATTCAAAATCATTTTTTTGTTTATTTTATCATTCCAATAATATTATTCAAAATCTTTCGTGGTCGAATAACATCTTCAATGTTGACCAATTTATATTTATTAAAATATCACTTTTTAACATTATATAATATTCTTACCCTATGTGAATAGTGTACAAAAATCCGAGCAAGTGTGTATCCAAGAGATTTTCAAATGTTTGAGTCCAAACTGAAAGAAGATCAAGCTGTTTACATCCGATCCCCCACTATCGCTCCTAACAGATGCACTTTAAAATAAGTGATGTAACCTCCAAGTTAAATTTGCACGGAAGAACAACTGTGAATGAGTGTCTACACTTTCAATCCAAAACAACATATGGCTTTTCTTGTGTTTCTTTTGAAACAATAATCTCTGCAACAGCTACCTCTAATGACTCAATTGGTAATTTTTTCCCCTTCTTGATTGTATATTATATTTAATTCTTTAATTTTACATCGTTTTGACATATTGTATTATCATTTTGTAGATATTATTGGTGAAGGTGTTTCATTAGGAAAGCTTGATTCCCGTGATGTCAGCAAATCTCTACATAGGCTACCTTTACAAATCAGAAACTTAGAGTAACCAAAACTTTTCTTATATTATATCTTATATTATATTCATTACTTTACAACTAGCATGTGTTATTTTAGTATTATATATTCATTTAACCATTATTATTTTTGCAGAGGTTTGCAGGTTAACATGACATTGTTTGGAGATAATGCATACCAGTTGATTTCTTATATTGAAGCTCATAAACAAGTTGGTCGTGTGATTGTCCTTTTGCAGTTTGCAAAACTTAATGTCTATAACGGTACATTTTTTATACAAAGCAACCTTATTTTAGTCTTTTATATTACTCATTCTTTTGACTATTTTATTTTGTTTCATCAGGAACACCTTCCGTTAACAGTTATTTTGAACAAACACGGATGTTCATAAATGCTAATCTTCCCGATATTGTTACCTTCACAGATAGGTAACAAACTATTTTAATAATTCATCATTTTTTGTTTCTTTTTAATAATTTTACTAATTTTATTTTTAATCTCCTAAATTAAAAACAGTTTGGTTGGATTACGAGGACTTCAAAACCCTTCTTCTTCTTTGACTGTTGATAGCTCTCAATCATATTCGGAATATGATGACTTTTTGAATAATTACAAAATTAAAAATGTTGTCGATTTGATAGAACCACAAGAGGTATATGAATATTTTAGCTCTCTTGATGTGATATTGTTTTCTATTTGACAGATAATCTAATTGTATTGTTTTTTATGATCCTTTTGATATTTTTTATTTTTTTAGGTCGGCCAATATATCATTGTTGGGACCATTTATGGTATTCGCCAAGATATTGATTGGTATTATCATGCGTGTACAAACTGTGGAAAGAAAGTTGAAACAAGAGATGTGTTCAGCGGTCCAGATAGTGGTGATGCAAGTATGGTTGTAAAATGTTATGGTGATAAGTGTATAAATAAGAAGATCTCTTCTGTTCCAAGGTTTTTTACATTTAAGAAAATATCAAATGGACAACTTAAATACATTATTAAACATTAAACATATTTAATATTTATTTATGAGGGAATGTTTTATAGGTATAAAATAACTATTCGTGTGCAAGATGATTCTGGAACAATCACTCTAACTCTCTTTGATAGAGATGCTTATAGACTCGTCAAAAAACGCGCACGTGATCTTATAGAGAAAATCAAACAGGTATAACATAATTATAATATTTGTAATATTAATTGCTGTTATTTTTTGGATTTTCTTTATATTAATGTGCTTTTAACCATAACTATATTAATTTCAGGCTTTAATAGATACCACATGGTGTTTCTTGATTGCTCACTCAAATAAAAAAATAATGATTTGCCCTCACACTTCATAAAACATTTATATATTGAAAGATGCATTTTAGTTATCTTCATATTTACTTTTGCATGGATTAATTGTGTTTCTCTTTAACATATATTCAAATTTATAAACTTTTATACAAATTTATATTAATATTAATTTTAAATTTTAAATAATCAATACAACAAATGCTAAACAAACTTAACTCTTATTAATAATATAATTTTTTTTCTAAATTTTTAACCCGTGGTTTCCACGGGTTGTAACCTAGTGAGTAATTATATAAAGTTCATCTGGAATTAAGTTTCATAATTCTTCCCTCAACAACTACTTAGTTTGTTAGTTTTATGTTTTGAGTGATACTAGTACAATATTTAGAGTTATTAAATAATTTTGAATATAATATTTATGTTTTAAATATTGAAAATATTGTTGTTAGACAAATTGATTTTTATTTTATATATATATATATATATATATATATATATATATATATATATATATATATTGTGTTTTCCATTATTATTGTTACTGTCTTTTTCATTATTTTATATTCCTGTTAAATAAACTAAAAGAATGGAAAATACATTTATTTTTAGCAAGTATCTAGTTGCACAAAAAATAATCAATAAAACCCAAAAAATCTATAGTAGCATAAAAAATATGCTGTTAAAACCCAAAAATATTGCAGCGATAAAACCAAAAAGTACCACTAATTAAAATGTTTTAGTGGCAACACTTTTAATGCTGCTAATTACCTAGTAACACTTTTTTTGTTATTTTATGAAACTTTTTATTTGCCACTAAATATTGTTTTATCTGTAGTGCTCTATATAAAATAAAGAGAACACAAAATACCCATCATCCTCCTTAAGTGACTCGATACTCATTAACATACTAATGGTTGAAGCTTATCCGATCAACACTTATCTTTTGTACTTCATATTTTCTTTGTTGGTGCACATCTTCGGACTTGGATTGCTCTTATACCAAATAATCATGCTTCTTCTCTCCTTAACAACAACGACGTCGCTTTACTTTACGCCCGATCGAGTCAGCCTACAATGTGCACAAGCCTTCTTATCCTCTTTGATCCCTCTTCTTCGATTGATTGTGTGCCACTCTCCTCTTCTCGTTATCAATGATGATGTACAAACTATTTCTTCTTTTGGTGTAATAGTCGAATTAAATGTTCATTGCTATATCTCCTCTTCGATCACTCTTACACACATATTGGGTAATTAACTACTACGCTCTTTAGTCTTGATGATAAATGTATAGTATAATATGGCCCATCATTCCTCCACCAATATACCTAAATATGTGATGATATATACACAAATGGATCTCAACACTTCTACCACATAAAGTGTATCCGTAGCATTTCCATTTATGCAATAATAAATACATATATACATATTGCAATAGTTCCCAAATATATATTGCAAACAACAAAAATCGAGAGTTAAAAAGTACTTTAATTTCGATACGATTCAAATACTAAGAAACAAATGTTTACCCCATACGAGGACGTGACAACATACAAAATTAATTAGTCACCGTTATTTAACCCTTAGTACGTGTCAAATAATTGTCATGCAATCGGATACCCTTCTCCAATATGTGTGCTTGATTTTGATTTGAAAAATCAAAATAAACGATCAACTCCCAATCTCTATATCGCGTTGAATATCGTAGGGGCGTTGGGGGGGGGGGGGGGGAAGTTGGCAGGTGCACAATGCACTTGTAATAACGATAAGAGCCGTTTTTTCTGGCTCATCATGGACCTTTGAGGATATTTAATTCTTCAGGACCGGCCCTGTAAAATAAATATTTATTAATCGATATTGATATTAGTCGACTAAAAATTCCATTAACAAATAGCTTTTAAACGATTAAAATTTTATATTAAACGAGCTTATAATACATAATGTTGATGTATATTAAAACAATCTAATTAGATATATACATAATGTGGATGTAATATGTAAAAGAAACCTTACAAGTGAGAAGAATCACCCACCGGTAAGTGAAAGAATTTGTTGTGATCGAGAGAGAGGGAAAAAGCATTAGTTGAATTACAGGAAGAAAATGGGGAGCAATGAATGTGGTCTTAAATGCATACTGCAAAACATCACCTACCTATTCTCACCCATCCATAACTCCATCTTTTATATATATCAATGAAAAACCTATTTACCTCAGTACTATCTCTCTCTTTCAAGAATCATGAAGAGACCAAGAGGAACCCAAAGCACTTGTTTGCTTGTTTGGGGTCTTGTTGCAGCTTTGCTTTCCCAGAACTTGGTTTTTCCTGCCTTTTCTGCAACCTTTCAAGATGAAAAGAACTTTTTCTATTTCCCTCCATACCCTGGTGTTGTTGGATCTCCACCAGTTGTGATCCCCAGTCCTCCCATTGTCGACCCTTCTCCACCAGTTGTCCCCACTCCTCCCATTGTCGACCCTTCTCCACCCATAGGTACATACCTACGTACACCACCATATCTATACGTACAATAATATATATGCGTAAGAGTTTTATTCATCTAACACTTCAATTCGAAATTGATTGTTGTTTTGCAGGTTACTCTAATAGTCCACCTCCTACTCATGGCTCAGGAGGAAGCACACCACCGGCTCATCATACACCGTCTCACGGTAGTGGTAGTGGTGGTGGCCACCATGGACATGGAGGAACCCCTCCCAAGAACTGCGGAAACCCTACACCTCATCACTCACCACCAAAGCATGTCGACCCTTCGCCTCCCCATCACAACCCTTCTCCAGCTACTCCAACATATCACTACAGCCCACCACCCAGTGGTGGTGGTAGTGGTGGCAACGGTGGTAATGGTGGTAATGGTGGTAATGGCGGCAGCGGTGGTCCTGGTGGTAGTGGTGGCAGCGGAACGCCCCCAACGGTACTTCCACCCACCACTCCTGGTTTGCCATATCCATCACCTCCATTTGACCCGAATTCACCCCCCATTGGTGGTACATGCGAGTAAGTGACTACTTCCACTTTGATTTGACTAACATGCATACGTTTTCACAAATTTTTCTTGAAGAGAAAAAAAAAAAAAAAAACAAAGCATGCACATGTTTAACTTTTCTCTGTAACTGCAGTTTCTGGAGGAACCACCCAGGGGTCATCTGGGGTCTGTTTGGGTGGTGGGGAACGACGGTAGGCACAGCCTTCGGCGTTACTACTCTTCCCGGAACCGGAGCACATCTCAACTTGGTGCAAGCACTGTCAAACACCCGAACAGATGGCATTGGTGCACTTTACAGGGAAGGAACGGCTTCCCTACTAAACTCCATGGTCAACAAGAACTTCCCGTACACAACCAGCCATGTCAAAGACAGTTTCGTGGCTGCTGTCGGATCCAACAAGGCTGCCGCAGCTCAGGCTCGGGTGTTCAAGCTGGCGAACGAGGGTCATATGAAGCTTAGAAACTAAGATATATAGCATTTATGTGTTTTCAGTTTAATTGCATGATTAGTATTCAGTGGTTTAATTTCTCTTGTGTCTTTACGTTTGGAAGCTTGTTATGCAGTTTTTTATTTATTTAAATTTCTTATTTAATGTGTCGGGGTTTAGGTTCCTCATTATTTATTAATGTCCACTTTTATACCATATTTTACATGGATTATTTATATGTCAAGTGTTTTGAGTAATCTATTTAATAAATTGCAACTCTTGCTTATGCAATATAGATATGTTAATGGAGTATTATTTACTAAATTTAATAGTTTTCTTCTAATTATTTAGTTAAAATATTATTGTATAGCGACAAAATAAAGCTTAACGCGCGTCGACAGATTATGGCATGCAGTAAAATCAATGTATCTATCTATGTTTCAGAATATTTAATTCGAAAAATACCATAAATGTAAAAAACAGTACAACTGTACACACATCTTTGGCATATTCATCAAATATGTGATAAAATCGTCCTATTTGCATATTTATAAATTTAATTTTTTATGTATTGCGAAATGTATATTAATATTTTTACAATTATATATGCGAACATATTATATACAAATTTAAAAGCGCGCGTGAACAAAAAAAAAATGATAAGAGGAGCCACGGTGAAACCGCTCCATGCAATGGAAGGATTCATATAATACATGATACGCCACTTGGTAGAGACTAGAGAGAGGAACGAAACCAAATAGGTTAGGAAGTAAATGTGTAGTATAATTATTTATGATGAGTGAAAATCATCATGTCATTTCTATGGACATAGATTCAAACATGCCTTTAACAATAATTCATATATATTTTGATTGTTTACTTGATATTAGAATATTCAATTACACTGTAAAGGATATATATGATGGAGGGTTTGACTGTTCAGTGCATTTAAAACTATTATAAAAAGTAGTTATGATCAGTCTCAGAGGCATTACCGAGGGTCTCGACACAACTCAAAGGATGTAATGTCAAACAATGCATGTGGCAATTACAAGGGCCACTGTTACTTCGTGACACGTGGATTTGAGTTTTTCTTTAACTAAGTTTTCGTATTATTCTATAATTTATAAAACTTTATAAAAAAGTTACATTTTGAATTCTGTAATATTTAATGAAACATTAAATTAAGAATTTAAAGAGTTTTTTTTTTTTTTTTTTTTCGTGGAAGAATTTAACAGCTATTGAACTTCATATTCCTTTACAACACATTTCTAGTGTTTGTGGCTCATAAACTTTTTGAAGTTGATGCAAATCATTTGTATATATAAGACATTGTAACACTCAAATACATGTGAGACACTTGTCCTTTCCATTTTGATGCCTAATGTAGTAATGTAAGAGTTGGGACAGATGTCATAGTATGTTGCTCCTTTGTGAAATAAGCATGAGACCATGAACACTATTGGAAAAATGGGAGAATTTGCAGCGGCCATATTCATCGAAAATACATAGGAAATAGCTTTAGCGACACTATTCCGAAAAAACTGATTTTGACGGAAAAGTAGTCCTAGGAAACTTTTCCCACAATGCTTTCGACAAATAAATGTCGTCGTAAGGATCAACACACTTTTCACACATCGCATATAGCGGGGACAATGAATAAAGATTATCTAGGTTTGATCATCGCTAGAGTTACGTAGACTATAATATAATGTTTGAAATTTCTTTGCTTCTGCTTAAACAAAACGAGAGTGGATATCTTAACGTTGGTAGTTTTGCGTTTTCATGGATTTTTGACCAAAGCATTCTCAACACGGTCGTATCGGATGCATTTCCGACCAAAACATTCCAACTCATTTTTGACACAAGGGTTTCCGATCGATGCAATTTCAACAAGACAAAACTGTAAATATGGTCCCTGTGGTATGCATTTTTTTGGGGTTTTAGTCCAAACCCCGACTTTTTTGGCTTCGTGGTCCTTTTGGCCATGTTTGTACGTAGATTTGGTCCCTCGTAAAATTGAAATGACTGTAATGCCCTTCTGATATATTTTTTTATGTTTTTTCTATTTAATTTAAATGAAAAAAATAAATAATTAATTTGGGCCCACATATCTCTCTCTCTCTCTATCTCTCTCTCTCTCTCTCTCTCTCTCTCTCTCTCTCTCTCTCTCTCTCTCTCTCTCCCTACACACAGGAAACCTGCACTTTTGAGGGAAACACACACTCACACACACAGAGAATTAAACAATGCTCTTCATCAACCACAAACAATATCTTATAATCATGTAATTCCATGATTTTTGAAGATTTCATCCAAAGTCATAAATGATCAACATAAACCTAGACCACAAAATCCCACAATTTCAAAAGCCCCTTAAGAATTTCCCTCTATTGTTCTTGTATGTGTCCAATTTTATCGCTAAAACAGTCCACTCCACTTCTCTCCTTCGACCGGAGAATCCACTGTGTTGATCTGATGTCGGAAACTTCTTCAATCAATCTAAAGAACCCATAATACTCTAAAATAGTGAAATAGTTGTGATGGTTATTGATCGAGATGGGTAAAGAAGGTGAAGAAGACGATGAACAATAGCATTAGTGAGTTTGCTCACTTGAAGAGGTTGGTTTTGTCTGGGGAAGACGATCGAGATGGGTTCCGCCACCACTCACCATCGGTCCTCCACTAGTGACCCATAAGAGATGAATAACTTGGGGAAACCCTTTAGCTTTGAATCTACACAGTGGTGTTGTGCTGCAGTGCAAATCTGATTGAGAATATGGCGATGAGGTTGTTGAATTGACGGCACCGCTAAGGTTGTAAGTTATTTCTATAGAGTTGCAGGTTTTAGAAGAGATGAAGGAGAGTTGGATGAGTTTAAATCGATGCATTCTCTTTTGATGAACTAAGCAAAGGAGGCGATGAGTTTATCAGAAGGGAAGGGACGATAGTGGACTTTCATGTATGTGTGTATGAATCTGAATGTTTGTGAATCATAAATCTCTCCTTCTTCCTCCGGCCAATCAATCTGCCCCTCCCTCTTTCTTAATTTTTCTTTAATGGCTTCAGTAGATTTAATTTCCCGCATCTTGTTTTTTCTAGATTGTGTTGAATCTATATTGATCCATGAGAAGCTGTTGATCCTGATTATCACCCAGATGGCCTTAAAAACTTGTGCTTGCCAACATCGTTGGATCAAATCACCACAAAGCATATACTTGGAGATGATTTGGAAGCTAAACTAGCTTCCAAACTATTGATTACTCAATCAGAAACTGTTAAGGTTTCATATGTTACCATGGATCAAGAAAATAAAGTTTTGTGTGGGTTTTATTGAGGAAGAAAATGAAGATCAGACCTGAGTTATAATGAAGATCAAATTTGGATTAGTTCTTCAAATGGAGGTTGAAATGTTTTTAATTACAGTGTATCTATGAGAGAGAGAGAGAGAGAGAATGTGGGCCCCTTCTTATTTTTTTAATTATTAAAATAATTAAATTAGTATTAGATTTAAAAAGAAATGAAAGAAAAAAGGAAAATAAATACCCCAAGGGTATTACAGTCATTTCAATATTCAGAGGGACCAAAAACGCAACGAAACTAGCTCAAAAGGACCATGAAGCCAAAAAAGTCGAGGTTTAGACTAAAACCCCAAAAAAATGTATACCACAGGGACCATTTTTGCAATTTTGTCTTTCAAAAATTGTATTTCCGACGTATTTTCGACCAAAACTAATTGTGGTAGTTTTTTCAAAAAAAAAAAAAGAAAAGGTGTTATATTTTTCCAATGCAATTATGAGAAAATTTGAGATTTATTTTTCCAATGGATTTTAAAAAAAAATGCAGAATCAAACAACATGAAAATTCTATATTTTTTACCACAATGTAGAAAAAATCCAATATAATGATCAAATCTTGTTTAGAAGTTCAACTACAAAGACAATAAACATAAATCTAAAAAAAATCATTACAACATAAGTTTTAATAAACACATATTCATTGCATGCACACCATACTTATCTAGTTTCAATATTACCACTTCATTACCTGATTCACAACTATCATGTCTCCTTTTTCATAACCCAAATTTTCGATCATGAAAATTTCATGGGTATTCATCTTCTCTAGTCATCGGCTGCTCGCAAGCCAGTTGTTGTGACTTTCTCTCTTCTTCTTACCTGTTCTATAATTGATACATCTAAAAGATGTATTTTCACATAAAATACCCATCTCTTACATTGGGAAGTCACACACCCCTAATGTATATAACCATTTGTATTTATATAACACTTGACCATTATATTCTCTACTGAGACTCTAACAGTCTGTTACATAACACACACATATATATACATAATCTTACGGGTCCATCTTTTGTCAACCTAGGAGTTTCACCTCCTCTTCATTCTCTCTTGTGGGCACACTACCAAAGTGTCATCTTACTTTGCATACTTGAAACATCCCGAAAATACTAGCCAAAAATTTCATTTTGAAAACATTACTAAAACCATAAGATCCAAATATTATATAAGAAAACCATAAGTCGTGAGTCTCAAAATGTCATAAAATATGTCTCATAACAAAGCTGATGTCAAGAACATATCAAAATATCAGAGTCTAACTCCCAGGCTAAAAATGTGGTGTGTGCCATGCCATCATCTCGAGCCCTTCCCCTTGCTAGCTGAAGTACCTGAAACCAAAACTGAAACTGTAAGCACGAAGCTTAGTGAGCTCCCCCAAATTACAACATACCATACAATATCATATAAAGCACATACTGGGCCTTGCCTACTGCATCGGACCGAAGTCCGGAACTGACTAGGGCCTTGCCCCCTGCATCGGACCGAAGTCCGGAACTGACTAGGGCCTTGCCCTCTGCATCGGACCGAAGTCCAGAACTAACTAGGGCCTTGCCCTCTGCATCGGACCGAAGTCTGGAACTAACTAGGGCCTTGCCCGCTGCATCGGACTGAAATCCGGAACTAACTAGGGCCTTGCCCACTGCATCGGACCGAAGTTCAGAACTGACTGAACATAGCATATCATAATCATAACATATAATAATAACACATTTACAGCATACTGCATCGGACCGCAGTCCGGAACACATAACACCTAGACATGCCTGAATCACAAAGACATCAAGCATACTGAACTACTTCTCGGGACCACCCCGGTATCGGACCGCAGTCCGGATTTACTGCTATCTAAATGGGTCGGCATTGTGTTCGTAGACCCGTCCC